TAACTTTTTCAGGGATTCTTGTATCTTTATAGAATTCCCTGTTCATATCCTGTATTGTTTTCTTTACTTTGTTCAGTTGCTTATTTGAGTTTTTTCAGTTTATTTGTATCCTTTTGGAATCCGTTTAGCCTTTTTTTTTTTTGGGTCAATCGTGGGACTTGAACTTGAGACCTAGGTAGTGTCCCTCCATGCTTTTTGCCCAAGGATAGCTCTCTACTACTTTGAGCCACAATGCCACTTCTGGTTTTCAGGCACTTTCTTGCCCAGGCTGGCTTTAAACTGCAATCCTCAGATATCATCCATTTAGCTTTTTGTATATGCCTCTTATTTCATTGATCATTATTATAATTTGTATATGCCTCGTATTTCATTGATCATTATAATTATGTTGTTGACTTCTTTGGACTTTCTTCCTCTTCACTTTCCTTAACATCTGTGACTGTGGGGTTCTTGACCTCTGGAGATGTCATATTGCCTTGTTTCCTCATCTTATGAACTTGAGTAGAGATTTATTCATCTGGAGCCAAATCATTGGCTATATGTTTTAAATTACCCATGATCTTGCAGTCAGAGTGTTTTTAACACTCAGACAGGACTGTGTAACAGGAGCATTGTAGTGTAATCTCTTTACACTGGACTGGGGATAGCTCAGTAGCCAAACTTTGGCCCATGTGCATAAGGTATGTGGCCTGGCTCCCCAGAACCTCTCAGATAGAACTAGCTAGGCTCCCTTACATTTGTGTTTGGATTGGTGTTATTTGTGGTTTGAAGGCAGGTCAAGGGTCAATTTCTACTTCTGTGCTGCTTCCATCTTAGAAACTTCCCTTATTTGTGTACCGGAAGCCTTTGATAGATGCATGGTGGTGTTTAGTCTACAGACCAGATTCCCTCCCACTTGTTGCACAAGTCCTCTTGTTTTTGCTCCCTGAAGAGAACATGGTGGGGGGTGGGGGTGGGGTGGGCACGGACTAAAGAACTGAGTTCTGCACAGGGATTAGAGAACTGAGTGTCTCAACTGCTGTGGCTGCAGGTTTCAGTTCTCTTAGACCCTGCTCAGCAATGTGCTGCCCTATGGAAGGCTGACTGAGGGGCCTGTAGTGTGTGGGTCCTCGGTCCTGTACTTGGAGCTCCATCCCCCACCTGGCATCAAGCCTCCAGACATACCAGAGAATTCTGCCAGCCACAGGGTTGGTGCTGTTTTTGTAGTGATTCTCAGGCAATAGGCCTGGAGAATGGGGTCACTGACCTCCTGCAGGCCCTGAGCTCCTGTTGCTGCTTTGAATTCTCAGCTTGCCTGCATCCTTCTCTCCCCCTAGTATTTTCTCCTGACCATCTACTGATTGTTCCTTGCTATCCATGCCCCCAGGTGAGACCTAGTCTCTGGGCCTACCTGCCTTTAGGCTGCTTTCAAGGAGCTAAGGATGCTCATTCCAGTACTTCCTCCCATCTGAGCTCCAGACCAGCCAAGGCCAGTGCCTTGTTTTGTGACAAACCCTTCAGGCAACGAAAGGGCTCCCACCAGCCAGTGTGGGGCTGCTGTCCACTGGTCCCCTGTCGCTGCTTCCCTGGCTCTCTCTGGAGCCCTCAGTTGACTTGCGTCAGGCTTCTTCCTGTCTGTGTTGGCCTCCAGGGTAACAGTCTCCTACCTGAGCACTTCAGCTGGGTGACCAGAAATTCCCGATTCCTGATTGTTATCTGACCTCCAAGACCCCTGGTTAGGGCTCAATTCCAAATCCTGCCTAGTTGCACACTGCTAGTATAAACAGATCGCTCTGATCTGAGCTGTAAACCAGCCGCCGAGGCCAGATCCCTTGTTTTCTGAAATGGGCCTTCAGCAGTGAATCTTCTCTTAATGGAAAGGGCGAGGCTGCTCTTGGCAAGGCCTGAGTGAAGACTTCTCTCCCTCTCTGAGTCTTTCTTTGATGGTAGTCCGATACTTGGACCTTAGCTGGGTGCCCTAAATCTCTCCAGTCGGGGAGATGAGCCCTTGATTTCTAAGTCTGCAGTTGTGATTCTTCTGCCTCAAAGCCTGCTTGGCTGCAGGTTGCTTCCAATCAGATAATATGAACTTGTTCTCCAAGTATGTTGGTCCTCAAGCAGGAGGCCCTCCATCAAGATGGCGCCTCACTGGAGCTCAAGCAATGGGGAGTGAAAACTTTTCTCCTACGGGATTGGCCTGTCACATTGGGGAAGCCACTGACCGGCCACATCCCAGGACTGGGGTTTAAGGCTTATGGGAGTGGATTTGCATTTCGGGCTACCAAGCTGTGGTAAAACCCACCGGGCTTCAGTCTCTCCTGCCCAGGGAACACCAGAGCTGGAACTGTCAGCAGTCTCCTCATTCTGTCACCTTTCAACCGTCCCCCATGCCTGTCTTCTTGTTTTCAGTGTCCTCTCTTACTTGTGCTCTTCTGAGTGTAATGTCTCCGTTGTTTCTCAGACCCATTCATAGTCTGACAGAGGAAGGTGCGACTCTGCCATCTTGCCAGTCACCCAGTATCTGTATTGTTTCATTTGAACTGAAGTGAATGTATTCATCCTTTCCTAATCATGAGTGCTCACAGGAAGGAGGTCTTTCTTCTCATCCAAGTGTTTGGACCTGGTACTCACAGCATTCTTTCCATTTTTTTCCTGTTCCTGGTCCTGGGGCTTGAACTCAGGGCCTGTTGTTGTCCCTGCATTCTTTTGCTCAAGGCTAGTGTTCTACCATGTTGAGCAACAGCTCCATTTCTGATTTTAGAGTGATTGCTTGGAGATAAGAATCTCACAGGGACTTCTTTGCCCAGGCTGGCTTTGAACCCTGATCTTCAGATCTTAACTTCCTGAGATAGGATTACAGGTGTGAGCTACTGATGCCTGTCTGACTCTTCCAGTTTTGAGTCCATTCAGCACCGTAGAACTTACCTTTTTTTCTCCATTTGATGATGACTTAATTTTTCTTCTTGAACTGAAATCTCTCGCTTGGTTGGGCAGCCTTCCTGGCTGTCTTCCTGCCTTCCCAGTGTCCTTCGCTGCCTGCTGTGAACGACAGTGCCCATGCTCCCGGTGGCTTGTACGCCTTGGTCTTTTCTTCCTCCCATTCTCTAACCTCATCCTGGGCAATCACATGACTTCATAGCGAGGTCTCTACCTACTCTGAGGTTGAAAATTGGTAGTTAGCAGGCTCTATTTCGCTTGTAAGGTTGGCCTGCCTAGCATTAGCATTTTAAATGTGAGTTTGTTGCCAATATTTAAAATGGAGGTCAAATCCAGACTTCTGGGATGAGCTGAAAGTCCCAGGCTGGGCTTTGAGGAACTGTCTGTGTTAAATGAGTCATCACGCTTCTGTGTGCCACAGAGAGCCCTTGCCAGTCTTCCCTTTGGTTTCTACATGCTGATGTAGTGTATCAGCTGACGTTTCTGTTTTATCGTAATTATACCATTCAGTTTCTTACAGTAGAGATAAAAGAGTATTTTTTTTCTCATTTCTCTGTTCAAATGTAGGAAAATAAAATTTAGACCCAAGCCTGGTACAGTGGCTCACCACTGTAATCCTAGCTACTTGGGAGATAGAAAATTGGGAAGATTGCCATTCAAAGCCAGCCTGGGCAAAAGAGTTCATGAGACCGCATCTCAACCAATAAAAAGCTGGATGCGGTGGTATCACTTGTCCTTCCACCTTTGTAGGAAGTGGAAAGAAGAGGATGGTGGTCTGTGCCAGTCTGGGAAGAAAGTGAGAATTTGTTTGGAAAATAATGAAAGTACAAAGCATTGAGTGTGTGACTCAAGTGGTACAATAGCTGTCAGGTAAGCACGAGGCACTAAGTTCAAACCCCAGTACTGGAAATTTATAAAAGCTGCACCAAGAATGGAGTGCTTCCTAAATATTGGGATATATATTTTTTGTGTGTGTGTATGAAGAAATGTTCTTTTATAATTAATATTCATGGTATGTCTGAGTTCATGGGCTATCATGTAAGACAAAGAGCATGTAATCGTCGATAACAAATTTGATGACAAACACATTATTTTTCCCCACATATGTACTTTTGTACAAATACATATTTTGCTTCCAAAAATCTAAAATGGACTGTTTAGTGGTCTAGAGTCACTATTCTTTACTGAATATGTAGAAATGCAAAGTACTGAGATACAGTGGTGAGAAGTCCAAACAGGTTTGTATAGCACCAAGGATTTGGACTTGGGTATCTTTGGAATCCATTATTCAATCCATGATAATATTTGTTTTCTAAACAGATTAGTATATTATATTATGAGTTGTCATGATATCGAGTGTCTAGGCATGGTGGGACAGATGAATTAAGTACACTTAGTTCTTTCTTTTTTTAAAAAAAACCTCCTTCACCAGATCTGTTCGTGACTGGCTGATGTTGCTTGCATGCTAGAACCGTGGCCATGTTTTTATTTCTCTGACTACTGGGGCGGTGCATCCGTGCTAGTGTGTTCTGCTTTCTCTTCATCTGGGCTTTATTTAACTTCTACCTTCCAGTTTTGATCCCACTTTAGGACATGTCTCATGATTTCTTCTGCCTTCTCTGTTCTTTCTCTTCTCTGCAAACCGTCACATTTTTGTTGTTGTAGTATTTTTCCTTGTTCTTGGGGCCTGAACTCAGGGCATAAGCATTGTGAGCTTTTTTTGCTCAAGGCTAGAGCTCTACTTGTGTAGCCACAGCTTCATTTCCTACATTTGATGATTAATAGGAAATAACAGTATCATAGAGTTTCCTACCCAGGCTAGCTTTGAATTCTAGCCTTAGATCGCAGCCTCCTGAGTAGCTAAGATTTCAGGAATGAGCCACCAGCTCCTTGTTCAACCTTTATCTTAGTGGATGACAAGTGATTGTATTATGTCTTACAAATATTAGCTTAGTGGTTGAGTCAGTTTTAGTAGAAAGCTTTATGGGTGGGTGGCCAGTGGCCTAAAATAGTTCATTTCTCTTTAGAAGCAAAATGTCATTCACTGTTTCCAATGCTTATCTGAAATGTTTTGTTTATTTCAGAGACTTGAAGATAGAAAATTTGCTGCTAGATGAAGACAATAATATCAAGCTGATTGGTAAGACTTTTTTTTTAAAGCAAGATTATCTTTTAAGTGTTGTATTGTTAATTCCCACCTTTGAAAATTATCTGTACCCAACTCTCAGACAGGACTTCTAGATTACCTTCTTTTACTTCAAAAATAATTCTAATAGAATTTAATAATTTATTTAAAAATAATTTAAGCATAATTAAGAAGATATAACAAATTAGATGACAGGGTTTATAGCCATGGGTATAGCTGGCTTTGATGACAAATATATTCTTTTGTGTACGTATGTACTTTGCTTCTAGAATCCAAAATAATCCTCTGGTAGGCTAGATGCACTGTTCTTTACTGAATATGTGGAATGTGCACAGGCCCTTGGGTAAAACTGACTGTAAAATGATTTCATAGCCCCACATCAACATTGGTCAGCTACCTGTTGGTTTGGATTAGCTAGCCTCTCCTTATGTTCAGAGGGCAGGAGATTATTTGAGGTGATTTTTTAATTCAATTTAATAAGAAAAAAATGTCTTTAAAGTAGTAAAACAAGCATGGCTCAGAAGTGTTTCCCACAGCTTTATATGTTGTACTCCACTTCTCCATGATCCTAAGAAGGCCCCCCAAAAAGGAGGAATAAAACTAGCCTCTTTTTAATATAATCTGTGTATAGATCCCATGGCTGAGTGGTGGCTATGCAGAGGTACCACTGGAGGACAGTTAGAATCTGGAACAATGAGAAGGGAGCTTGGAGATGCTTAATCTTCATTGTTTCATAATTTAGGCTCTCCACTTGATGGCTTATTCTCAAAAAACATGAAGGTTTTTTGTTGTTGTTATTGTTTTTGTTTGTTTCATTGTGCCTGTATAGAGTTGGTACTAGCCATAATTTTCATACTCAGATTTTAGACAGTACTGTTCTTTTCTTCCTCTCTTTTCTTTTTATCCCCACCTCAAATGCAAGTATTTTTTGCCACCTCTGTGGCTTTGAAAGATTTTCTATAGAGTGACTTTTCGTATACCTGGGAGTGACAGTGAAGAATCACACAGGAGACCCGAGAATTACAGACAGGAGGCCACAAGGACTCCAGCATTCTTGTCTGGGCAGTGAAGCACCATTGACGGATGTTGATGGGTTTTTCCATTATAGATGATTAACAAGTAAGAGGAAACCAATTTTCACTCCCAAAAGCATTTTGTAGAATTGATTCTTAGGCCATTTGGAGAGAGTGAGAGAGAGAGAGAGAGAGAGAGAGAGAGTGTGTGTGTGTGTGAGTCATGGGGCTTGAATTCTGGACCTGGGCGCTGTCCCTCAGCTCTTCAGCCCAAGGCGAGCGCTCTACCACTTGAGCCACAGCGCCACTTCCAGTTTCCTAGTGGTTTATTGGAGATAAGAGTTTCACGGACTTTCCTGCCTGGGCTGGCTTTGAGCTGGGATCCTCAGATCTCAGCGTCCTGAGTACTAAGATTACAGGCGTGAGACACCGGCACCCGACTAAGATTTTCTTTTTTGTTAAATGGTTTTGCTATTACATTTCAGTCATCCTGAGGACTAAGTACAGAAACAATGAAATGAGGCTTGCTGGGATACCTTGAAAGATACTTTTCCTGTTCTGCTTGTTGAGATCTTTGCCGTTCACAAAGAGCTTCCTGATGGAGGATAAAGAATGGAGGAAAGGAGACTTTTTTTTCTGACCTGTAATTTGTCTTTGGCACATGTGAAGGTGACAGTGACAGATTTGTCTAACGGCAGAGATCTTGAGAGTACAGACTTACTAAAGGATGGATTTACATTGCAGTCCAAGTTAGAATAACGCACTCCATCATACAGACAAGACCGGTGGGTTGAGTGAAGAGCCATCCACTGGTGGTGGTTTCCATAAGCCAAAGACAAGGCCGGTGGGTTGAGTGAAGAGCCATCCACTGGTGGTGGTTTCCATATGCCAAAGGAGCATTGCCCATAGCGTGCTCTTCTGTCTCACTTTCTGCCTCTATGCTGGCTCTCTCCAGTGGTAACCCTAGACGATTGCTTATAAACCTACTCTGTGGAACAGGAAAGGCTGATGAACACAGACTGTCTCGTTAATCAGACATTTACTCAGAAGATTCATTGTAAATGGGAGACCTGTTATAGGGAGCTCACAGATTGGCTGAGAGGTAAAAATCTCTTAGAAGAGACATATACAAATAATATGAAGAAGTTGCATACCTAAATGAGCACGGACAGTTTCCCTATTAGAAAGTCTGATGGTTGTTTTTGGGGGACCAGAATGAAGTCCCTCAGAGTTCTCTCATGCAAGCTGGCCACTGCTGGACTGGCATATAAACAGCTATGGCGTTCATGTCATTGGAATTGTTAAAAGACAAACTTAGAACAAATCAAGTTTTCAGATCTTAGTTGGCTTGATTTGTGATTCCAGAGTGTGGGGCAGCGCAGGTTGTGTTGCTAGCTAGAGAAATGGCAGTGCCATTCAGAAAATGGAAATGAGATACAGAGAACCTGATGGGTTACAACTCAGAACTTCCTTACAAGGTTTGAACAGTTGGCCACTTGTGATTGGCTGAGGTTCTGGTACTTGTTAACAACAGTAAGTTATATATCAAGTTAGGTTACAGTCCACTATTTATAGACATTAAACTTAAGTGAGGATTTCCCAAACTACTAAATAGGAGGCTGTGATAATTGGATTTTCCTGTCAGAACTTTCCCATTAGCTCCCAATCTCATGACCAGAGAAAGTTAACAAGCCCTAGCTTAAGCTTCCAAATGAAGGACACGTTGCAGAAGGCAGCTAGGAATTACATTTGCTTGGCAGAATTTGCATTCCCCTCCATTTCCAGGGAGGATAAACCAGTATCTTGCAGTCTTTTTTTGCCTCTGGGTTGGGCCCTGTGGATCAAAGTTCTCCACTGACTCTCTCCGTAGGTTGAAAACCCTTTGAACCACATTATCTTCAAAGGAATTACCTAGTTGTTTTCCAGAGGTGATTATAGCTATCATCGTTTCCTCATAATAGTTTGTATTTCTTTGAAAGAATTCAGTTTAAATCAATTTACTGCAGCCATGTTTAAATTAACTAGAATTACCTGGTATAAGATTTGATTTAATCAGGTTTTTTTTTCTTCTTCCAAAAAGAAGGGAGGGGGGTTAATGTTTAGCAAATTTAATGTAATCTTAAAATGGAAAAGCCACAACTTAGAGGACAGTTTTATGCTAATAGCATTTACTTAGGCATTCTTTTAAGATTCATTTTCCAGCTCTCTGAAAAAAAAATGGAGCGATAATGAGCTCATGTGTTTACTAAGTCTAATTGAAGCAGACCTATGTGACCTTTCTGGAAGGCGAATTTCTCTCTAGTTTCATGATTCTAATTACAGGCAGATGTGTAAAACTGTAATAATTACAATTATGAATGTGAACCACGTTGGCTATTTCTCTACTGTGTATTTTTAATCAAGTTCTTTTGGCCAGATTAACCCAAGTCACTTCACATGCAATTCTCCCCTTGTTAGTTTCAAAAATCCTCTGATAATTTATCTTCTTAGGATGTGTTTTGGCCCAGGCCTACCAGGGACCGCAAAGGCTCATCTTGCCTCTTATCTCTCCCTTTCCCACCCTTCTGGGTAGAATAGATCAGGAACCTAGAGGAAAGGGAAGGAAAAAGGCTTTGCTCTTGCCCTGCCTTACTGACATTAGAAATGGAGCCATTTGCTTTAACCTCAGAAATCTAGGGATGTGTTTCCTGGGACTTCTGGGAAGTTAGGCCTTTAACCTGACAATTCAGGAAGCTTTCCTTCAAATGTCACCACCCAACACTGTCATCTTTACCCTATGGTGCTGTCTTTCCCTGGTAGGCACAATGAAAGCAATCCTCCCATGTTAAAACAATGATTTTTCTAATTATAAAAATACCTTCTTGTCAGTGATATTGCAGTCTGAGATACTAGGGTCTGAGAACGGTCCCTCAAGTTATGTGTAATGTATCTCCTAAGAGGGACCCAGAGATCTTCTGTGGCTCTCAAAGGGCTTTTCTGTATAGGGCCTGAGAAAGGAAGTGGGAAGGGGGAGAAGAAGAAGAAGAGGAGGACAAAGGAGGGAAAAAAACGAAATCACAACAAAACAAGAGTTCAGTGTTCAAACACGTAGCATTCCTGGCCCAGCCCTGTTGTGAAAGTCTGTGCTGAAGCGTTTAAATGGTTTTCAAAGCCTTACTTCATTTCAGAGCTCTGCCCGAATGGAGTCCTATTAAAGCCGTTGTTACAGTTTCACACTGTTGGGAAATTTCCCTGTGGTATCTAGTGTGGATCCCCGGTGGCCCCAGTGACCCCTGGTTCCCCCCTGGGCTCCTCGCTGCTCCTCCCCTGAGCTGAGCTTCCCTACAGCTTTCATTACCTGTCAAGCCCTTTTCAGGTAGAGACATGCCAAGAGGAGGGAAATGCTGTACTGAGACATGCATAGTGCCGATGAGAAAATACAGGGTTTGGTTCCAGACTAAGGAGCTAGTCTCCAACTGCAAGAGCCAGGCAGTCTGGGTGTCTTCTCTGGGGGGGGGGGGGGGGAGGGACCACAATATTTACATTGGGCTTCAAAGGATGACCTGTGATCTTAATTCTGAGATCAACAAAGATCCAGGCAAGATAGCAGCAAAGTACTGTAATCACACCAACAGCCGCTCCATTCCCATCAGTTGCAGTATCTTTAAGATCAAAAGTAACACAGCACAAAAGACATAAGAGACCCAGAGTAGCTGGAGATGGATGGAGCTTCTCTTTTATTCATCTGCCAAGAATAAAGCAAAACACCATCACTCAGTCTAATTGGCATCAACCATCCTCCTGGCATTTTGTTTTTTCTCCAGCCTCTAACATACAAGGATGTTTAAATTGTTGGCTCATATTTTCCCCCCTTTTTCAAATCATACTGTGTGCCTTGTATATTTGGGAGACATTTCTTCTAAAAGAATTATGAAATGAAACATTGAGGTGAGGTCTCTTATGAATGGCTAGATCACATGTTACTGAAGTCAATGATGGAAAGAACCAGCCAGAAAAAAAATATATGTGTATGTATATGTATGTCTATAGCTCAAGAAGATTGGTATATACCTAATATATCTATAGGTATGTGTATGTATGTATATATACATACATACATATATATACACACACACCTACATGTATACATATATATGCCTATGTCTAAGGTGTATATATATATATATATATATATATATATATATATATATATATACACCTATATATACGTATATACCAGTCTTCTTGATCTCCCCTGCCTTGGTCACTGGGAAACCAAAAGGCAGGTGGACTCTCTTCCCAGCTCCTCTGTGAGTTCCTTCTTCCTCCCTCCCTCAGTCCTAGAAAGCAAGGGCCTTCCTTTTCCTGAATGACTCATTTACAAGACTTGATGGAAATATGTTTCAGTTCAGCAGAGGCTTAGCTCCAGCTAGATTTTTATAGGGAGGCCTGATGTAAAGTGTTCCAGTTAAAATCACCACCTGACCCGCTTTTGTTTGGAGACTGAGATCCAGAGGTTATGGCTTGCAGCTGTTGACTTCCCTCTGGGATGTTAAATTATGTGTTAGCTCGAGAGAATGTTTCCTGCTGTCTGCCCTCCCCCTCCCCTTCTTCTTTTTTATTTTCCTTCTCAATTCTGCAATGTTTTCTAATTTGGAGGTGATTTTGTCGTCTTCTCTTGCAGACTTTGGTTTGAGCAACTGTGCGGGTATCCTCGGTTATTCGGACCCCTTCAGCACCCAGTGTGGCAGTCCTGCTTATGCCGCACCAGAACTTCTGGCCAGGAAGAAATATGGCCCCAAAATTGATGTCTGGTCCATGTGAGTTACTGAGTTCATAAAAGTCAGTGTTCTCTCCTGCTGTCTCCCCCGCTTCCTACTACAATGTGATTCGCAGTGTGTGATGAGAATGTATTTAGAAATTGTGCTGCAATGCTGCTCTATGGAGCGTGCCTTTCCTTCTCTCCTCCTTCTAGTCTAAGTGCAGTGCCAGATGGCCTTTACCTAAATCCACTGAGCTTCCTGGGAGAGAAGAAAACCAAGTCCTAGCTATAACTGCCAGGAGGTTAATGCCTAGAATCCTGCTACTCAGGAAGCTGAGATCTGAGGTTTGTGGTTCAAAGTCAGCCCAGGCAGAAAATTCCGTAAGACTCCATCTCTAATTAACTATCAGAAACCCTAGGCTGGAGGCATGGCTCAAGTAGTAGAGTATCAGCAAGAAAGTGGGGCGAGTAGGAGGCCATTAATTTAAGCCCTGGTATTGAAAGTAAGGCAAGAAGAAAGGAAGGTAAAAAGGAAGAAGGAAGGAAGGTAAAAAGGAAGAAGGAAGGAAGGCAAAAAGGAAGAAGGAAGGAAGGAAGGAAAGAAGGAAGGAAGGAAGGAAGGAAGGAAGGAAGGAAGGAAGGAAG